CCTTGTGTCGCCTTCGGGTGATAGGTGCCCTCTGACTCTACATCACTTTGCGAGATGCCCGGGGGCTACTCCTTTAGGACTTAGAATATTTTTTAAACGTAAAGTGATGTCGAGCTTCCGGGTGTTAGAGCCCTCCGGGTATATGAACAGGACCCTTCGGGTGATCGTGGGCCCCTTGAGTTGTACGAGCATTTGATCGAGGGCCAAATATGTGGAACTTAGCAAAATTTCACAGTGTGTCGTAGATGTTGGACCTTCGGTCAGTGAGGAGTCTGTCCGAGGGGCAAATATTTTGGAATAGTCCCCCTCGGTTGGCTTTTGATGATTTGTAATATATGCCTTCGGTTGTCTGGTGATATATTAGCCTCCGGTTGCCGTCATTTTCCAAAAGTGTGGACTTAGGAAAAGTGTGGAATCCTGTTGTTGTGAAGAAAGCCAATGATGAGTGTGTGCCCTCGGCATACACTCTGAAAAGTTGTAGAGTTTGACTTAGCCAGTTTTGTCCCTTGTAATGGGGTAGAGGCCCTCGGTATTAGTGCATGACAGATGCCTTCGGCGTTTGAAGTACCGTTTAGTGGACCTTGGATAGTCCAGTCCCTTTGTATTGTTGAAGCCTTCGGTGCTTGTGTGACCGGAGGTGACCAGGCAGTGGGCTTAGCCGTTTCTTGATGATATTTGTTTGAGTAGTATCCTTCGGGAAATAGGAGCCTTCATTTACCGGAGGTGTTCCCGTGGGGAGCCCTCGGCATGTTGTGATCTGTTGGAGTGTACTCTTTGATTTCTCGCTGAGTCTACTCCCCTTCACTCCCTCTGTTTTTTTTTTTTGGTTGGTGGTGAAGGGAAGGCATCAAGAAACTTGGTTTCTTGTTAAGGCTGGGCCTATTAGGAGACCATCAGAATACACCAATGGCTCTCCTCCCTCGGGTTAACCTTCCGAGTTCCGAGGGGATCGAGGGTCGTTTCCTGGGCACGAGATATGGTGGTCCGTAACCTGCCTCCCCTTGGGGGATGGCGCGGAAAGCGCCTCATTTTTGAAAGTCGTCCCCTCGGCGCTAGACATAGTCTGTGGCCTGCCACACCCTTGGGGTGGTGGCGTGGGGAGCGTTTTGGTTTGGAAGTCGAATCCTGGGCATTTCTCGTGCCTGTCACACCCTTGGGGTGATGACGCGGATAGCGTTCCGTTTTTGAAAGTCGAATCCTGGGCATTTCTCATGCATGTCATACCCTGGGGGTAGTGACGCGGAAAGCGTTTCAAGGAAGGGTTTTCATTTGCACACTAGTTGCAAATGGCCGGGGGCACTACGTGCCGCCGGCACCGATGGTGGCGCCTTCGGTATATGCGTCCTCGTGGGGTACGGCTTTTAGAAACAACACTTGGTGTTAGTTTCTATGTGTAGCCCCCGGTACTTGGTACCGAGGGATCTTCTGTAGGAACATTTGGTGTTCTCTTTTGTTGCAGTTGATGGAGGTGTCTACCCTCGGTACCTGGTACCGAAGGGTCTTCAAATGAAACACTTGGTGTTTCCCAACAGATGTTTGGAAGTTGATGGGAGGGCATATCCCTGGCACTGGGTGCCGAGGGGTCTTCTTTGAAACATTTGGTGTTTTTCTTCGTTTTGATGTTGATGATGGAGGTGTACCCTCGGCACTGGGTGCCGAAGGGTCTTCTGTAGGGACACTTGGTGTTCTTATCTTTTCTTCTTTGATGTTTGAAGGTGGAGATGCGTACCCCCGGCACTGGGTGCCGAGGGGTCTTCAGTAGGAACACTTGGTGGTCCTATCTTTGATGTCGAGGGCGGAGATGTGTACTCCCGGCACTGGGTGCCGAAAGGTCTGGACTGAGAGCACATGGGGCCTGTAGTTGGTATGAGGGCTTGGCCGCTCATAAGTGTTTTGTTCTTGGTGCCTTGAATGTATCTTCATTCTTCGAAATTGGAGGCCTTGGGCCATAAGATAGTACATTCACTAGTTATGAGGACTTGGCCGCTCTTACATTATTGATAAAATTTAACTAAGTGGTGTACATTCCAGTGCCTAGGGACTTCTTTCCCGTTGGGACGTTTGAGCTTGTAAGTTCCAGGTTTGATGATGGCTGCTATGATGTAGGGACCTTCGAATTTTGGTGCCATTCTGCCTCCCTCGGTCGGTTGGCTGGCTTCCCTCCTCCGGAGGACATAGTCCCCTACTTGGAATTCTGCTATGATGTAGTTGACCGCTGGCCTGTCGGGGGCTTTCTGGAAATGTTGACATGTGGTGCACCTTCGGGCAAGGTCAGCACAATCTCTGGCCATGGTTGGCCAAAAATAGCCCTGGAGAATGAGCCTTCGGGACATGGAGAAGGGTCCCTGGTGAGCTGAGCAAGTGCCACTGTGCACTTCCTCCATTGCGACCTCGGCCTCATCCTGATGAAGGCATCGAAATAGCGTGCCATTGTAAGATCGTTTTGAGAGCCTTCCATCTTCGATGGTGTAGCTAGGAGCCCTCAGCTTCGCCAGTTTAGCGCATGTCTCATTCTCGGGTAGCTGCCCTGTGGAGATGAAGGCGGTGATATCTAAGATCCAATCCTCTTGGCGCTGTTGTATGTTCATAACGGGGCTTGCATGGATACTTGAGAGGCTGAGTTCCTCAATTTTGGCAATTTTGGAGATGTGCTCGGGGGAGTCAGCCGAGAGCTTAGATAATATGTCGGCCTCGGAGTTTTGAGCTCTCGGTATTTGAGTGAGAGAGTGAGCCTCAAATACCTTAAGCAACTCCTTGGCCGCTTCCTTGTACTGTTTCATTCTTCCCTCCTTGGCCTCATATTCCTCGGAGATTTGGCCAACGACCAACTTGGAGTCGCATTTGATGTGGATCTGCCGAGCCCTCATGTTGGCAGCCAGCCGAAGGCCACATAGGAGGGCCTCATATTCGGCCTCGTTGTTGGAGACTTTGAAGGAGAAGCGGATTGCGTAGTAGGCTCTGAAGCCCTCGGGAGTAATGAGGACTACCCCTCCCCCGCATGCTTTGGTCGCGGAGGAGCCGTGAGTGTAGAGGGTCCACCAATCATCCGATGCAGCCGAGGGCTCCCCGTCCGTGGCTGCTCTTGCGGTACACTCCGTCACAAAGTCCGCCAGGGCTTGGCCCTTGATGGCAAGCCTTGGACGGATGTCAATGTTGTACTGGCTCAAGAAGATAGCCCATTTCACCGTGCGGGAGGAGCTGGTGGGGCTCCTCATGAGGGCGCCGAGGGGTTGATGAGTGAGGACCTGAACCGGGTGAGCCTGAAAGTAGTGGCCCAACTTCTTGACGGTCCAAACGATGGCCAACACCGTTTTCTCCACAGGAGAGTACCTGAGTTCGGCCTCCCTTAGAGTCTTGCTAACGTAGAAGATGGCATGTTGGATGCCGTCTTCCTCCCGGATGAGCACAGAGCTGATGGCCGCCGGGCTGACCCCAAGGTAGAGATAGAGGGTTTCCCCTACCTTAGGTTTGGACAGCACAGGGGGTGAAGATAGATACCGTTTGAGCTCGTCGAAAGCCCCCTGGCATTCTGTAGTCCATAGAAAGCCAGCCGTCTTCCTCATGATCTGGAAGAAGGGTAGAGACTTTTCCGCTGATTTAGATAGAAAGCGGTTGAGGGCTGCCAGGCGGCACGTCAAATTATTTCCCATCATGCGCATCATGCGCATGATGTGCCGATCCCCATACGATATCGTTTTGCACTTAAAAAATAGAGCAGAGCGGCGTTCTTATTTCCCAGGAACGGTGAGCCCCTTCCTTTCCCACTTCCCAATCAGTAGCTTCGGTTTGCAGACACAGAGAAACGGCCAAATAGCCATCCCAAAGCATCGAGTGGAGAGCACTTATTCCTTTTCTTGTTCGATGTGTACGGATCTGGAAACTCTCATAGAAAAATCAAAATTTATATGGAAATAGCAAACGTTTGCTATCTGCTGATCAATTTGGATGCTTTGGGTATATCATTTACAGAGTAAGGATGTTTTAACTTGGACTATAATTTACTGGTCTAGTCTGGTCTGGTTTCTTTGTATTTTTATAACTATCCAAGTCTGGTCTGCTCTGATCTGGTCTGAGAGGAATTACAGTCCAAGCAAAAGCATCCTAAACGTAATATTGGAGCAAATTAATCCAATTGTTGGGCTTTGGGTATTCATATTGGAGCAAATTAATCCACAGAAAGCAAACGTCTATTTATTAATTAGTCTGTTATTTGTTTGCTTTGCTGATATTATAGAATTGCATTTCACATACACCAGAATTACATTTCGTTTTGGCTAAGTTACATTTTGTAACACGCGATTTACATTTTAATTTTTCTCAATAAGTTACATCTTGCTTAAATGTGATTTACATTTGCCATTATACGACTTACACCACAAAACAATGCGAGTTACACAACAAAATAAATTCTTGTTATTCAAACAAAAATGTTTTTTTTATTGAAAATCATTTTAATGGGTCTAATATTAAAAACAAAACATATGCACTGTTTATGTAAAACAATTAGACTCTCTTTTTTCATTATTTACATTGAAATCAATGTTTTACTTCTTATATTCTGTTTTACACAACTTACATTTCAACTTGACTCGAATTACAATGTTTATCAATGTGAGTTACATTGCTTTACACATGAGTTACACCCACCTAATGCTGAAATTAGGGTTGGATTCGGGCCGGGTCGGGCCCGGGCCGGGCCTAGTCCCGGTCGGGCCGCCGGTTCAAGAACAGTGGGCCCGGGACCGGCCCGAGGGTTGGACGGGTCCGGTTCGGGCCGGGCCACCCGCCCGGGTCACGGGTCGGGTCCGGTTCGGGCCGGGCCGGTTAATTTTTTTTTTTAATTTATATTTTATATTTTATAGTTTATAGTTTGATACGAGTATTAAAAACAAACTTCAATTGCATTTATTTGAAATGAAATAGGAACTACATTTGAAAATTAAAACAAACTTTAAGAGATAAACATTTTGAAAATTGTAATCAATCGGAACTTCCCGCACCTCCCGATCCTTTGGCTTTGTCACATGACTTCATATGCTTGATTGCCATCCCGAATCCGCCTGAAGCCCCCATAATACATTTTTTTTCGCACCATTTACAAATTGCGTACCACATCCCGGTCTTCGGGTCCTTCTGCTTATCAAAATTATACCGTATAATGGCATTTTGATTTTCCATCTTAACTTCTTGGAGAAGAGAATTAGAGAGTAGATATATAATATATTGGAGAATAAGAGAATTAGAGAGTAGAGAGTTAAGAATAGGATTTAGGAAGAATTGGAGAAGAGATATGAAAAAATGTTTAAGAGTAGGAGAATTTATAGGTTTTTTTACCCCCCACCCCCACCCCCCCCCCACCCCCTACCAGCCAATCCCCCCGGACCCCCCCTTTACCCCACCCAACGGCTATATAGCCGTTTGGGTTGTCCCCAGCCCCACCCCCAAGGCCTCAACGGCTAGTAGCCAAAAATCAAAAAAAAAAGTTTTTTTTAAAAAAATAGACCCGGACCCGGGCCCGGGCCCGACCCGGCCGGGCCGGGTCACAAAAATGAAGAACCGAGCCCGCCCCACCCCTTCCCCCCGGTTCGGGCCCAGACCCGGTCCCGGACCGCCCGACCGGGCCGGTCCCGGGCCCGCACAGTACCGGGCCGGGCCGGGCCGGGTCACGGGCCGGGTGGCCCGAACCGAATCCATCCCTAGCTGAAATTATAAAATAAAATAAAGCCCTAGGAGCGGGATGCTCAAGGTGAGCAGCTCCCACGATATACGAAGTAAAAGCAGCTAAACAATTTTGTCTAGTTGCTAGATTACGTAATTTTTTTTATTGAGAGAACTGTTAAATTAGTCGTTGTACTATCAAATGGCTCCTTTTACTATCAAAACAACCAACTAAATCCTCAAACTATCAAAACAAAATGCACAATTTAGCTTTTAATCCGGTTAGTTACCGGTTATCAAGTTTCTCACTTACGTGGTGATAATCTTCCATTAACTTTTCCCTTTTTAAAAGGACATTTAAAGCCTTGGGGGGTGTTTTGTTAGGAGCTTTTCAACCATTTTTTGGCTGCTTTGACCATATTTAGCCTTTTGACCCATATCACTAATAAAAGTGTTTGGTTAAATGACTTTTTTAATTAGCCTTTTGCTCCAAACAGCCAAAAAACAAAACGCCATTAACCTCTGAGTTTACAATGGACCGTTCCATATATATCCTACACTACCCTGTATTTTCCGTTTCTTTCCTAGACTTGTAGAAAAATATTTCATCGAAGAGCAAAAATAAAATTCTCCTAACCTAAATTTTCTTCCGTATGAGAGCAAAAAAACAAATGCAGGGAGCAAGCCGCCATCTCTCAAATAGTTAGCTATTTGATCCTATTTCCCTTCTTCAGTCTTCACCTCAATTTCTTTTTGTGCTTTGGATATTTGTGTGTGTATAAGTATGATATGGTGGTATTTCGTGCAGAGATGGATACAGAGGGATTTGGATTGAGGTTGCTTCCTCTTTGTCGTGTTTCTCGACCAATAATCACCTCATAAAAAAGGTCTAAGGAATGGATTAATAAATTATTATTAAAAGAATTGGGATTTCACGTAACGTTACCTCATCTGTCCTGTTCATCTAATAAAAAACAAACGCAGGGAGCAAGCCGCCATCTCTCAAATACTTATGACTTATGAATTAAAAAAAATAAAGATTTAAAATATGGAATAATTATTAGTTGCGTTAATTCATATGAAGTTTTAATCATAAAAAGGAAATAAAAAAGCGAACCAAACTATTAGTTGCGATAATTTTTGAGACCCGAAAATCGGGACCCGAAAAAAATCGATTCGAAATCGGTTTGTATTCTCAAAATATCGGTTTGGACCGAACCGAACCGATTTTTTATTAATAATATTAATTGTTTTTATCATAGTTAATTTCATTTACTAAATATACAATACCGTTGGGAGAGGATCATGAAGGTATCAAATGCTTTGGTTCGCTGGTCGCGTAGTGTGTTAGCAATGCTGTTGGTCACGGGTTCGAATCTGGCGTAATATATTTTAGGTTGAATTATGCTTGAATCTTTTTTTTCTCTTCTGTGGGTTTTTTCATCCCACACCGGACAAAAGGAGTTTACTCCTCAAATGCTTCTATATAATAAGGGATAAGCTCAAACTTGTAGTTGTGTCTGAAATCTGAATGGACCATGTATTCCGTTCCTAGACTATCAAAGTGGACTTTAATGTACTCAAAAATCTAATTGTCACATTTTGGGCTTATGGTATTAAATTCTAGTTCAAGTTTAACTGTTTTATTGATATATAATTTGTATGTGTCGGTTTTTGATTGGTTTTTGATAAATCGACCTGAAAATCGGTTCCCAATAAATTGGGACCCATTTGATGATCGGTTCAGTTTCGTGTATGATATTTGGAATTACCGAATTTCGGTTCGGTTCCAAATTTCATTGGATCGGTTCGGGTCCTAAACCGAAACCAGCCCCAGTTCTAATTCCCTGAAATTCTGAACCGCGAACCAGTGGTTCGGTTCCCGTTCCCATTCGAGCCGCGAACATGTGCTGAATTAGTTACTTAACAGGTGCAAACTTTTATTTGTACTATGCCACGTTTCCATCTCTCATACGGCAAACACTAAGAATAAGGAGAAAGCAAAATATAGTTGTACTTTCTTAGTAGTAATATTAGTACAACGTTCATGTATAATCCGTCATTTATATTATTACCTAGCTATTGCCAATCACTATCAGACCACCACCTATTACTGCGAAAACAACCACTGTCAATGACAGTTCTCACAACGATTCGTAATGGTTTGGTGCTCATTTATATTTTTACCTAGATATTGCCAATCACTATCAGACCACCGCCTATTACTGCGAAAACAACCACCAAACCACCGTCAATGACAGCTCTCACAATGGTTCGTAATGGTCTGGTGGTGGTTAGTAGTGGCTTAGCGGTGGGCCAGGGTAAGTTAAGTGTTAAGTTGTTACTAAAATGTACTAAAAATAATTAAGAAACTTATCATAAAATTCATTATGAAATATTGGGTACTCTATATGAGGTACCCTGTGCCCAAGCACGAGCCTATTACACTAGTAGTTCTCAAATGTTTGTACAAGAGGCCTAAGGCTGCTCAATAGTGAAATGCTGAATTTGTCATGATCTACAGCCTATTTGTCTCTAGGGTTGTAAACGAGCCGAGCGGAGCCAAGCATTCTAGTGATCATGTTCGGCTTGTTTTTTAACGAGTTGTTCACGAGCGACTCGTTTATTAAATGAGCTCAAATATTGTGTTCAAGCTGGGTTTGTTTATAACCTCATTGTTTGCGAATGGTTCGTTTGTTAGACGATCCCTAAACGAGCCGAGTTTGAGCCAAGTACGAGTATTTATCAAGCTTTTATAAAAGCTTGATATATGCATATTTACTAAAACGTCAAAAAATTAATAGTTGCTTACCTCTATCCCGGGAACATTGTTCACACCATACATGTGAAAATCATCTAGTTAAAAGAGGAGATACCAAAATCTTCATTTTAATTTCAAAGCCGCGTTAATAAGAATGTTTCAATCCTGAGAATTTACAAAGAAAGACGATGCAATAGTGAATTCCTTGAGCAAACTAAATAACACAAATTCTTGGTTAGTCAATCATATTGTATCATGTTCGGGCACCAAGGTGAAGTTGGAAGCACATCAAATTCATCTAATAGTGCCAAAAAAGAAACTTCAAGATAACATAATACTACATTGATTAGCCTCACATTAAACATACTAACAACGATTTTGTCTTTCATGTTAAACAAGTTACAAGACGAAACAATATGCAATACTCACAACTTATGCTATACATAATGTCTTTAATTAAGAGCTTATAACACTAATCTGGACCAAATATATAGTAAAAATCTAAATCAAATAAATTAATTCTGGAAAAATAGATGAAGGTTAAGCACAATCTAAATGTTGCCTTCGATATAAACACATTACTTCTGCCCTCATCTCAATGATGAATTTCAATAACTTAAAATCAAATATAATTTCGGAAAAATGGCAAAAATACCTATATGTTTTGGACTTTTGGGGTTTTGAGTTCTACGCAGGTGAGATTTTTTTATATGGCTTCATAGCTAACCAGATGCATTCGAGCTTAACTTTACGGATCGCCCTTCGCTTGGGAGTTATGAGTTCAATTGTTTCCTCTGGAACTCAAACACCAGAGGATGTGGTTGGGAGCCTCACCGGCTGATTTACTTCTCTCCATCACTTCTGTGTACCTATTTGCCCCTACAGTAGAGCACCAAAAAAAGAAAATATGGGGGTAGAGGTTGCGTAAGTCAGAGAGGTGAGAAAAAGAACAAATGGTAAAGTGCGCAGCTCGCTCGTCGACTTGGGAGGACGAATTGAAGGTTGAATGTCTCGCGTGTTCGTCAGCAAACATGATTTCTTGCACATCGTGAGAGTAGCCCGAAGGGCTGGCGTGGACTCATGACAGCAGAACACTGCATCAATTTGGATGCTTTGGTTATATCATTTACAGAGTAAACGTAATATTGGAGCAAATTAATCCACAGAAAGCAAACGTCTATTTATTAATTAGTCTGCTATTTGTTTGCTTTGGTGATATTATCGAATTGCATTTCACATACACCGGAATTACATTTCATTTTGACTAAAGTTACATTTTGTAACACGCGATTTACATTTTATTATTTCTCAATAAGTTACATCTTGCTTACATGTGATTTACATTCAGGGGCGGACCCATCCTAGGGCTAGGGGGTGCCCGTGCCCCTGCGGTGATTTATATATATATATATTGGAAAATTCTTAGATCCAGCACCTCCCGGTCCGAACGCCGTCCGAACACCACCGTTTGGGGCGGTTCCAGGTGGATATTTTTGATGAAATTTTTTGAGCATGCTCCTCATCAAGTCTAGTTTATCTATACCAAATTTCAAGTCAACATTCGACCGGGAAGGCAGTCAAATAATACGTTGAAGTTAACTACGTTTTTCTATGTATAATTTGGCGCAGTTAACTTCAACGAATTATTTGACTGCCTTCCCGATCGCATTTTGAGCTGAAGTTTGGTATGGATAAACTAGACTTCATGAGGAACATGCTCAAAAAATTTCATCAAAATATTTCGCCGAGAACCGCCCCAAACGCCGGTGTTCAGACGGCGTTCGGACAGAAAAGTGCTGGACAGAAAAGTTATGCTGATTGAGACTTATGATGTTAATATTAGAGATGAGTTGAGGAGACGTTATTTGAGAAAAGGTCCTTGCCAACCGCGTGACTTTAAATTTCTACAAAGTGATTTTAATGGGTGCAACAGATCATTCCAAAAACAGTGGTTTTATTTAAATTTTAAAGTTTTGTTTATTGCTATACTCGTGATGCATATGATTTTTTTCTAGACTAGTATATCATTTCTTTGTTATTGTGCCCCTGCGAGTCACGAGTCCTGGTTCCGCCACTGTTTACATTTGCCATAATACAACTTACACCACAAAACAATGCGAGTTACACAACAAAATAAACTCCTGTTATTCAAACAAAAATGATTTTTTTTTATTGAAAATCATTTTAATGGCCCTAATATTAAAAACAAAACATATGCACTATTTATGTAAAATAAATGGACAATTAGACTCTCTTTTTTCATTATTTACATTGAAATCAATGTTTCACTTCTTATATTATTATGTTTTACATAACATACATTTCAACTTAACTCAAATTACAATGTTTATCAATGTGAGTTACATTGCTTTACACATGAATTACACCCACCTAATGGTGAAATTATAAAATAAAATAAACAGAAACCCTGGTGACAGGATGCTCAAGGTGAGCAGCTCCCACAATATATGAACTGAAAGCAGCTAAACAATTTCGACTAGTTGCTAGATTACGTAAATTTTTTATTGAGAAAACTGTAAAATTAGTCCTTGTACTGCAGCAAAAACATCAATTGACTCCTTGTACTACCAAAACAACCAACTAAATCCTCAAACTATTAAAACAAATGCACAATTTAGCATTTTATCCGGTTATATATCAGTTATCAAGTTTCTCGCTTACATGGTGATAGTCTTCCATTAACTTTTCCCTTTTTAAAAGGACATTTAAAGCCTTCCTATATCTGCCACTTCAATGTGGTTCCGATTCCCCAAAATTCTGAACCGCGAACCAACGGTTCGGTTCCCGTTCCTATTCGAGCCGCGAACATACGCTGAATTAGTTACTTAACAGGTACCGAATTTTATTTGTAATATGCCACGTTTCCATCTCTCATACGGCAAAATATTATTAGTACAGCGTTCATATATAATTCGTTATTTATATTATTATACCTAGCTATTGCCAATCACTATCAGACCACCACCTATTACCGCGAAAACAACAATCAAACCATCATCAATGACAGTTCTCACAATGGTTCGTAATGGTCTGGTGGTGGTTAGTAGTGGCTCAGCAGTGGGCCAGGGTAAGTTAAGTGTTAAGTTGTTACTCAAAATGTACTAAAAATAATTAAGAAACTTATCGCAAAATTCATTGTGAAATATTGGGTACTCTATAAGAGGTACCCCGTGCCAAAGCACAGGCCTATTACAAGAGTAGTTCTCAAATGTTTGTACGAGAGGCCTAAGGCTGCTCAATAGTGAAATGCTGAATTTGTCATGATCTACAGCCTATTTGTCTCTAGGGTTGTAAACGAGCCGAGCAGAGCCAAGTATCCTAGTGCTCATGTTTGCTTGTTTTTAACGAGTTGTTCACGAGCGACTGATTTATTAAATGAGCTCAAATATTGTGTTCAAGCTGGGTTTGTTTAAAACCTCATTGTTCGCGAATGGTTCGTTTGTTAGACGATCCCTGAACGAGCCGAGTTTGAGCCAAGTACGAGCATTTATCAAGCTTTTATACGACTATTTATTGAACTTCAACAAAAACAAAATTATTAAAGAAGTTAATCGAGCTTTTATACGAGCTTGAGTGAGCATGTTCGCGAACATAAACAAGCAGAGCATCCCCCGCTCGTGTTCAGCTCGCTTATTAAACGAACTTGAAAAATGTTTTCATGTTCGTTTATTTAGCTCGTGAACGAGCTTTGACTTGGCTAGTTCAGGAGTTGTTTGCGAGTGCTTGTGTTCGTTTACAGCCTTATCTGTCTCTAGGTCGACTGACACCAGCCTGCTCACATCGACAAATACCTTTCTAGATTTGATTCCTGCATGTAAATTTGGCAAGATAGACACGGGAGACCTGCAGTACTCATAACACAAAGAGGGACACTACCTCTATCAGGCTCTCTTAATTCAGCTCTTGGATTTTGTTATTGTTTTTTATGATGTTAGACTGTTATATAGTTGAGCTCTCAAGCTTTGTTATTGTTTCCTATAATGTTTTTGAAGATTAAGGCTGGGTAAGTGACTGAGTGTTCAACTTGCCTCACGTTCGAATCTTTATATTCTCCCATGCATAATAGTAGTACTAAGTACTAACTGCTTGAATGTACAAACTTTTAATTTTGAATTTTTGTTTATTGAACTTTTTGCAATGGAATTCTTGGCAACCAAGGCTTAAGTACATATGACTGATTTTACATCAAGAACAACAGTAGGGCATGTTCAAAGCCCTGCAGTGTTTCTATTAGATTTCTAGGACACGTTCAAATCCCACTTCTAATCCGCTCATATGAGCTGCAGAATTTGGATATGAAGAACATTAGCTTGAAGGCATTGGCCAGAACAGTGAAGACCATACTAATAAAGCCTATTGATCCCATTCTATTCAACAAATTAGTAGTGTCATAGTGTGTTTACAAATCATTTTTTTGAGGTTGTGTGAGGTTTACATATAAAGAAGAACCCGCCAACTCAATGTACATATATTTAATAACTACCAGTGTAAAAGACTACAAGCTTTGAGTGTAGAGCATATTACCTATTTGAACTCACTCCGCAATGTACTAGTGAATAAAGACTACTGTCGCCGGTCCAATTCTTTCATGAATGCGCAATCACGACAAGACTCTAGGAATGAGCCCTCAAACTATGTACCAGAACTATAGGTGCTTTCTGTTCATCGAGATGGTTGGGTGGAAACTAATTCCAACTTTCCCACATCTTCACTGACACCATCCCCATTGGAATGAAAAAAAAACTAAAAAATCTCCTTTTAAAGAGAAAAGGGCCAAATAAGTCTTTTTACTATCTTAAAATGATCAGGTCCATGTACTTATAAAAATGATCATTTAAAACCAAATGACCTAGAGGTTACCTGATATAGCAGGTAATCCACATGTGGCATTATAAGTGAAAACAAGTCATTTCATATTCACGTGTCATTTTCATTTCCATTCATTTTCTTGTTTTCTTTTTGCTTTTTTTATCTTCCCTTTTCCTTTTCTTGTTTCTAGTTAATTCCCTGTATCCTAATCATATACGTAGTACACAGTATGTACGGGTAACGGGTATCTAATATGCTTGTACTGAGGTAGCATATTGGATAGCAGACCGGCGAGGATAGATTAGAAAAGTGCACAGTTCACTTGGCATCGCTGGCGTAGCAGTAGAGAGGATTAGGGAAGCGTCGCAGCCGTATACAGAGAGAGGGAATAGAGACAACTAAGCTAGGGAAGACCTCCATTGGCGGACTTTGAATCGGAGACAATTATTGCCAAAGTTTGAATCAGCTGCTATGGATTTATTTGGAAGAACACAAATGTGTCAAAAAGTTTTGAATCGATGACGAATTAGAATTAGGCTGCTCGGATTTTGAATTGATTATATATTTTCTGACAAAGTAATTCCGGACAACAAATCTCGCCGCTGCATCATAAATTTCGGCAAAGATCCAACCTGAATATCAAGTGATGGGCATACATCTTCTTTTGGCTAGACTTTTTTATGGATCTTTTAGCTAGCCAGCCTAGCCATAAACCTAAGAAAAACGAAGAACAAAAACTTGAATGACATGTTGGTTAAACCAGAAACAGAACCAAGAAAGAAGAATGAGAAAACAAAAGAAAAAAGAAAGGGCAAATAAAAATAAAGGAAATGATATTGAAAAATGCCACATCATCAGCTAACCTGTTATATCAGGTCATCCTGGTTTAAATGATTGGTTTTAACTAGTAAACAGATGTATCTAACATTTATTTGAATAGATGGAATTCAGTGATTGTTTGAACATAGTTAAAGGATCTATTTGACCATTTTCTCCCTTTTAAAAAGGGTCTTGTAAGCTTTCTATCTGGGACATAAACACTTTTAAGTCGATGGTAATTTGGCTTAAACACTTGAACATAAGTTCGACTAGAGAGAGCTTTATAAGGTTGATATATTTCGGAGTTTACACACATTAGGGTCGTCCAACCACTACTCAGCCGACACCTTCTCTAAGATATACACACTACTGGAAAACGAATAGAAAGAAAGTAAAAATGATCAGACTTTAGAGGCATCGAGATGAAATTTTCCAAATTATGAGCCGCCTCATCACCGTCATCACTATACTCAAATTCGTCATCCTCATCACTATCCTCACGGAGGGATGATGGTGAGGATAGTGATGAGGTGAGGATGGTGATGAGGTGGCTCACAATTTAGAAGATTTCATCACAGCGTGATTGCTTCCAAAATCCGATCGTGTTTACTCTCTTTCTATTCGTTTTCCAAATGTTTATATCTTGGAGAAAGTGTCAATTATGAGATGGTTGAACGAGTCTAATGTGGGTAAACTCTACACAATATATCAACCTTATAAAGTTCACTCCCTAACCAAACACCATGTTTAAGTGTTCAAGCATACAAAATTTACTTTCGACTTTCCGTAAGAACGTTCATAAACATGTCTTATACAAAAATCGAATTTAAGCAAACAAGAGACATACTTAATAAGAATTTTCGTACCTACATTGTTTACACTCATTACCACCCCATCAAAATTTTTCAAACAGATTTAGATGTATTTCATAGAGTGGGAGGGAGGGGATAGTGGGTTATATCCAAAAGAAAGTGCAAATTACAATCTCGTCCCATCTCATATATATGTTGATTTCGTTGGTGTTATGGCCTTATTGGTCCGACTGATTTTAGATGAAATATTTTTAGGAAGTAGTTGGGATTGTTGGAAAGTCTGTTTTGAAAATAAGGAGGGGAGAAAATGGGAAGGATGATATGGTGGAAAGTAAGGTTGAAATGAGAAAGAGGAAAAGGAAGAAAAGGAGAATGAGGCGAAGGGGTGAGATGATTGAGGAAAGTGATATGCAACATGTATTAAAAAGGTTTTAATATAATTCAACTTTGTAACCCACCAAATATGTAAATCGAGGACGGATAGAAGGCGTACAAGACCGTTATACATGAGGGATTTTTTTTTAGTTTTTTCATTCAGTGTGGTTCTACTGCTGTCTGCTGGGAGTGGTGGTGTTGATGGGAGTGGAGCTGCCAGTGGAGGTGGGAGTGGTGGTGCTGGTGGAAGTGGTGATTGTGCAAGTGGAAGTGGATGTGGGGGTGCAGCTAGCGGGAGTGGGATCGGTGACAGTGGAGGGGTGTCACAGAAGTTCTTTTCTGAGTGTCATCTCCTCCAATTATGTAAACCTGAATTAATTAATAATGTGAATTCTTAGACCAATCTCTATATTATACTCCCTTAGTTCCTAACTGTTCTTCCATAATACAAATGACACACAAATTAAGAAAGTGAGTATTGTGTGGTGAAGAGTTGTGCAGAGGAGAGAGAAATGTGTAAAAAATGATGTAAACCACAAATTCATTCCCAAAAAGAAAAGTGGAAGTTCTTTTGGGATGGATGAAAAAGGAAAGTTGGAAGTTATTTCAAGGACGGAGGGAGTAACAATTAACAAGTAAATCTATGTACCTAATCAATGTCGTGATCTTGAATGTTGTCAACTAATTTTTATGTTAACTGATAGCCCCCACTTGATATCCCAAGAAGAGTACCACATATTTATGAATGTCATTAACTACTTTTGGTGTCAAAGGGATAGTATTCCTAGGGTAAAAGCCTTTAAAGTTTAAACCCCAGCTAGGACCCCATATGTTAAACTATTAGCGTATTAAAAAAAACCATAGAGAATATATGTATATTTACTAAAATATAGTTAAAAGAGGAGATACCAAAATCGTCAGTTTAATTTCAAAGCCGCGTTAATAAGAATGTTTCGATCCTGAGAATTTCCAAAGAAAGACAATGCAATAGTGAATTCCTTGAGCAAACTAAATAACACAAATTCTTGGTTAGTCAATCATAATTGTATCATGTTCGGGCACCAAGGTGAAGTTGAAAGCACATCAAATTCATCTAATAGTGCCAAAAAAGAAACTTCAAGACAACATAATACTACATTGATTAGCTTCACATTAAACATACTAACAACGATTTTGTCTTTCATGTTAAACAAGTTACAAGACGAAACAATATGCAATACTCACAACTTATGCTATACATAATGTCTTTAATTAAGAGCTTATAACCCTAATTTGGACTAAACATATAGTAAAAATCTAAATCAAATAAAGTAATTCTGGAAAAATAGATGAAGGTTAAGCACAATCTACATGTTGCCTTCGATATAAACCTAGGTTTAAGGTAAGTTTTACATTACTTCTGCCCTCATCTCAATGATGAATTTCAATAACTTAAAATCAAATATAATTTCAGGAAAATGGCAAAAATACCTAGATGTTTTGGGGTTTTTGAGTTTACACCGGTGAGATTTTTTTATATGGCTTCATAGCTAACCAGATGCATTCGAGCTTACCTTTACGGATCGCCCTTTGCTTGGGAGTTTCTCGCTACTATGAGAAGCTTATTGTTTTCCCAGTTATGAGTTCAATTGTTTCCTCTGGAACTCAAACACCAGAGGATGTGGTTGGGAGGATTTTGCTGGGAGCCTCACCGGCTGATTTACTTCTCTTCATCACTTTTGTGTACCTATTTGCCCCTACAGTAGAGCACCAAAAAAGAAAATATGGGGGTAGAGGTTGTGTAACAGAGGGTTGCGTAAGTCAGAGAGGTGAGAAAAAGAACAAATGGTAAAGTGTGCAGCTCACTCGTCGACTTGGGTTGAATGTCTCGCGTGTTCGTCAGCAAACAGGATTTCTTGCACATCGCAAGAGTAGCCCGGAGGGCTGGCATGAACTCATGACAGCAGAACACTGCATAGACAATGTGCAGTGGTGAAGAGGTGTATAATGTATTCGGGAGCTCCAAGCAATGGAGGAAGCAGGCTGAGCTTCAGTAAATATAGGATTGCCCATTCATTGATATTAGATATCCATTCATCAAATTTCTTACCCATCTAATGTGCGCTTCTCGTCTGTTCATCTGATTCTTCTTTTTTATTGTTTATTCTTATTTAAGTTAGATCAGATCAGATCAGAAAAAATCAGATTAGATGAGAAACATTCGGATCAAATTATAAAGATTTAGATCAAATCAAAAAGATTCAAATCAGATCAGAAAGCAGATCAAATCAGGATGATTCAGATCATATTAGAATAATTTAGATCATAACAAAAACATTCAAATCAGATCAGAAAATTTCAAAACTGATTTTTACTTTTGTTATTATTAATATTGCTGTTGTTGATATTAGTATCAATATTTTTATTATTATTAATGTTGTTGTCATTGTTATTATTTATTAATATTGTTATATTATTATTGTTATTAATAGCATTAGTATTGGTATGCTACTATTATTATATAAATGGTCTTGGAATTAGTCGCATGGTGGTTTACGATCAGGCGGACTGATCATTTCTCTCTGCTAGTTATCTATGATACTTATGTACGCATACATGTACTCTCACACAATTTCATTTCTTTTTCTTATAAGAACAAAATAAATCCACCAGAAGAGCAATGTCTCCTCACCTGACCAAGGGAGTGTGAGGCTACCGCTCACACGACTAACTTTTCTTCACCTAGACTAGGAAGAGCAATATCTGCTCTCATCACGCCACAATAGCTGCTACGAACCTGAGCCCCGGCTTGAGAAAACAGTTCCACAACTGCGGGCAGCTTTCCATAGTACCTCTTCAAAGCATCAACTAGAGGAAGAGGGGAAGATGGGTCTAGAACATGCCACACATAGACCGGGGGAACAAGGTCATCTATGGTTGCCTCTTGCCAAGCATGTTGCCCGTCCCTCATTTGATGCTTGAAGGCTTGGCACTGCCTCACCCTATGACCCTTCGGTCCCACTTGGACTTCGGGACAATATCCGCATGTTTGAACAGCGTACTTCTGCATTAGTTGTATGGATCCCGTTCGTGTATCCTCCCACACTTCCATTCCTCTCTCTGCACATCCTGCATAGAAATTTTAAATTATTAGCTTAAAACTGGTTTATGTGTTAAAACTCACTTCAGACTAACCATTGTCTGCAGACTTCAAGGGCTATTTGGGTAGGGCACGTATTCGGCTTATCTGCCAAATCCTTTACCAAACATTAAAAGCTCATCTGGTTAGGCTTAAAATAGATGTTGGAATTTACTGATACTGATGATACTGATGTTATTGTTGAAATGACTCATTTGGTAGAACCTGCTGATTTAAAAAAAACTGAAAATATATAGTTAAATGAACTAAAGAAAATAATTTCTAAAAGTAAAGCTACAAGTACCCATGACTCTGATAAATTAGTGCATAAGTTTTTTTTGTGGGTGAAATTGCTAAATTTGTCAAACGGGTACTTTTAGCATTACAAGTACCCATGACTCTGATATCATGGATCAATTCATGTTAGCTGACCCCAAATCGCTTGGAAATAAGACTTGGATGTTGTTGTTGTTGTAATGCTAAAAGTACCCGTTTGACAAATTTAGCAATTTCACCCACAAAAAAAACTTATGCACTAATTTATCTCGTTGGCACGACGACTGCTAATATAAAAAAAATTGTAAAATGTATTCTAACTTATTTTGCACTGAAATCAATGAAAACGACAATATGACCTCCAATTTATGATACTATTTTATTTAACTTATTTAAAGATAAAGATATATGTTGAATAAATATAACAAATATATCAGCATATTTACTCAATTTAATTAGACCTTAGCAACCCATCTCTGATAAACAACAGTAGACTGCTGAAGAAATCATATAACGCCTAGGAGCGAGGGGGAGCAATTTGAGGATCTTAAGAAATTGAAAGAAATAGTATTTGAAGAATACAATACCTCTGATATCATCGGAAGGCAAACCCGAAGTTTTCGCATTTGATGTTATTAATCTCTTAGTTCCCCAAAAACCAGATGTCTGGATGTGGTTTCGAGACAGAGCATCATCCTTGGGGAACCTCTTCTCAAAATCTATCATTTTCCCGGCCACTTGGTAAACCGGAAATTTCCGTCTTCTGGTTGGGTAGTCAGGCACGTCTACCCCAGCCTGAATGCACAACTCCATAATCGCAGGAATCCGGTCCACCTCAAGCCTCTCATTATGTGAAACGGCTCTCCCCAACCGATCATACATATGGAAAGATTCTACAAGAGGCAATAAGTGTTTGACATCCCCTCTCTCCCAAATATGCTCCTTGCTCTTCTCACTGCCGCTAACAGAACATGTTTTAATCTTATGGGGTGTATGACCAACATGAACTTCCCCACACAACCTACAGACAATAAAGTTCCAGGAATCATCAAATATATGCTTCAGAAGGATCAGTAGTGACACTATTGTGCCAATCGATCTGTTCCCAAAGAAGTATCGTTTCGGAGAAGAATAACAAAATGTTCTAAACTGTCATTTAGAAAAATCTGATGCAGCATTAAGCGTGTTTTTTCAAATTTGCCCTGCTGATTAAAAAGAGAACAAAAATTACACATTCAATTTCAATATATACTTCGTACATTGTAGCAATATTAAAAAAATCTAAAATATATCTTTCAAGCCCGTCCCAAGCCAAGATAAAGGAGGAGCATGTTGTGGTAGGTGCATGATGGCCAACAGTATATCTTAGTCACATCGCATGACATGAATTGCAATATGAATACTTACTCCAATTTCTATGTTGATTGATGTTAGCCGACCCCACTCTTTTGGAACTAAGGTTTGGATGTTGTTGATCCTTCAAACTATTTTTCCAACATAGGACGAGACAGACTAATGTTTTTTCCCTTCGAAGTTACACTTCAAAGTAGGAACGTCCTTCCCTAATGTAATCCGGTGCACATAAGCCTCCCCGCAAGGCGAGGGTCCAGGAAAGGATTCTACCATATGGGTGTATAGAGAGCAAGTCTTCCCTTGCCATTTTGGCAATAGGCTGTTCTCACTACTTGAACTTGTAACCTCTCTGTCACACAACTAGTCAACAACACCTTAATCGATGTGCCAAAGGCTCCCGTCAAGGAAGGGACGTTTGGTTTTGGCAATGTCATGTTACCTTGGTAATGTGCTATTTACCTTGGTATTGTGAAAAATCCAAAAAGGTAATATGAGCTCACGTTGCTGATAAAGTTCAAAACCGAGTTAAGACTATGCATCTAAGCCAGAACACACTAAAAGTGTAAGAGATCGAATCCCAACAATTAGCAACTCTAACTCTAGGCTATATAAACATTTGTGTCTCACTCCTATGTCTTACCCCTATAATATTTTTATGTCAAACTCTTCCCTAGATAATAAATACATTAGTAATAACTCATTTACTGGTCACATTTCGTAAGCCAAACATCATAAGGTGACAGGAATCCAAAGCATGAAAAACTGTCTCATCTTTTAAACAAAAAGTTCATGGCCTGCACATGCTGCCTCTAATAACAGAATAAGAATTATTCACAGTGGATACAATACGATTTAGCAACTTCAGAAAGAAAAATACACAAAGAACTAGTGTTACCTGCATGAATAGATAGGAATATGTTCTGCAACTCTAGAAACACAAGCTAGTAACTCAGCTTGGGCAGCTAAAACATGATGCGCTACTGGTATTAACCCCTTCACTAACAGCCCATCCTCGGGTGGCTTCAGTGTAACTTCTCGAACCTCTTGTCGCTTTTGCTTCTCCAGCCTCTCCCTGCGCTTGAGCTCGTTAATGCTCGTCACCAACGGCTTCCTCTCTGTTCTCCTTAGTTTTCTTGGGACATCTGTAATGGTTGAATAAGATGCATCAATTAGTTGTAGCGCCTTACACTTGGTGATGAAATTCGTTTCATAGTTTCCCCTTATTAATCCTCTGATGTTGAATACCATCCAGATTTGCATGTGGAAGGTTGTAGTAGATTGTAAGCTTGGAAGTTTCATTAAAGCATTTTAACGAACAGTTTGGGTTTGTTTGCTGAAAAGGCCCAACATCTTTGGATTCTCATCTCGAGATGGAACGACCATACAAAGGTCAATTCGAACTGTAGGTCAGGATCAGATGCTTGCAAAGCTGTTTTCTTTTTTGGGGCTGCTGCTACATAGATTGAATGAAAAAGGTTTACCGAATCTCTATTCACGGGTTCCTATCTTTTTCTTTGCCTTTTGAATCCTTATAGAAAAATCAATAATTCAATTCAAACTCTTTTTTCCCTTAGTTCTGACTATTTTTAATTCCATGCATGAACCCGCCGATGATCTGATTGCTTCATGCAGGGCCGGTCCTCAGAAAATGGGTACCTGTGAGTCCAGGGGCGAATCTAGCTTTGACATCCAGGTGGGGCCAAAATTTAATTAAATAATATATATTGAAAAAAACACATCTATTGTAACAACAAAAATAAAGACAAAAATAAACATAATAGGAAAAAGAGTTTTCATTAAAGTCAATTACAAAAATACCACAAATTTACAATTGTTCTCTACGGGTTTTCATCGATTAATATTGTTTGATAATGACATTATTGTCAATTTACCTCATTACCTTTATTAAAAATAAGATTACCTTCATTAAAAATAAGACTAGTTATTACACTAATACTAATTCTCAATAATAATATGATTAATAATTACAAATCACAAGTAAATTCATACTACTATAAATGATGATTACAACTTTATAAATAGCAATCAAATTCATACTAAACAAGGCTGTAATTTAGTTTTTAAATTGATTTAAAAACACAATAAAACTAAAACTTAAAATTAAACAAGGCTGTAATACTAAAGTCTAAACAAGGCTGTAATTAAATTAAAAACCTAGTAGCTTAGTAATTTACCCGTTGGGTAGTTCCGCAGGCCGCAGCTCCAGAGTCCCAGTTTGCCACCGAAGAGAAGAATTGAAAGCCAGAAACTAAGGAGTGAAGCAGTCCAAACTGGCAAACCGCCGTGCGCCGTCCAACTATCTAAGTGCTAAGCGCCTATACCTCCGTGCGCCGTCCAAGTGCGGAGCTTAGGTTGGGATTTGCGGACTCCTATTGCGGTCTGCTGCGGTGCTGCCTCTTCCCCTGCGAGCTGAGTTGGATTTGGGATATTGAGATTTTGGGCCATGGTCTAATGGTGGGCTTGGCTGGAAGGATAGGAGAGTGCGGATGAACAAACCTACTGACTAATGGACTAATGGACCTGAACTGCTCTATATTTAACATTTTTTTTTTTGAAATTTGAGGGTGGGTCTAATTTTATACATATATACTAGTTAAAAAATGAAAAATTAAGGGTGGGCCTGGGCCCTCACTGGCCCAATCCGCTCTGAGATAAACTGTCTAACAAAAAACGGGCCTTCCTACGAGCACAAGAACACGGTCACCAAACGGCTCTAATGATTTAGGCGATGTTTGCAAATGTTTTTGCTTTTAAAAAGCACTTTTTGAAGTGATTTTGAAAAAAGTGGTTAATAGTAAAAGTTGATAATGTTTGAGAAAAAAGTGGTTTTGAAAAGTAAAAGTTGGTAGTGTTTAGTAAAATATGTGCTTTTTGTGATCTAGAAAAAGTAAATAGCAGCTTTCAGCCAAAAGCCGAGAAGCGCTTTTTTAAATAGAAGTTGTCACTTGAAAACACTAATTTTAGTTTTTTCAAGCAAAAAAAAAAAGAAACGCTTTTTTTAAGCGTTTGCAAACAGATCCTTAAAAGAAGTTAGAACACCTTACCTGGTTCAGCACTTCAACAAGCATTGCGATGAGTGCAAGCGCCGAGGATTCATCAGAGTGAGCAGACTGGAGGGCGTGGCGGGGTGCAGGCTTGACACGGTGAGATAGTCATCCACTGCCTTGAGCTTCGTAGTAACAATCTGAGTAACATTAGAGACCAGAGAGATGGGTTGTGCCGTGGCTGCCAAAGGGGGCTGAAAAAGAGCATGGTCACACGACCTGGATATTCCTGGATTCCCGGAGAAGGTTGAGCCGAAGAAACCAGAGCCGGACAACAATGGCGGCGGTCCCATGGTGATTGTCGATGACGGCTGAACCAACGACAGCCACAGGAAGGATGTTGGCGGTGCCTTAAACAGAGAGCAAGCGTTATGGTCACCAGTCGTGTATGACGGGACTGACGTCAAGATGGGAGAAGAGACAAGTTACAAAGCGACGGTGGTAGCTGGGCTTGTTGACGACACACCTGCTAGGGCAGAGAAGGTCATGGCCGGTGTGGTGCTGGAGAAGGCAGAATCGATGGTAGATGTCGTCACCGGAGAAGAGACTGCAGCAGATGTTTTGGCATGCACGTCGGCGATGGTGCTGGCCGAGTATACGGCAGCGGTAGTGCTGGCCGAATACATGTTGGCAGTAGGGTTTGAAGAGAGAGAAAGAAAAAAATAAACCCTGACTCTTGATATAATGTGAAATAATGAAAAATGATACTCCAATAGAATTCGTGACAGATATATATAGGGCTGGGTCCGAAAAATCGAAAATCGAAAACCGAATCAAATCATACCGAACTGTAGCCAAATAAAACCGAACCGCTAACAAACCGAACTAGTTAAAATATACGGAGTAAAATTTATTTGTCCATTGTTAAGCATTAATCCTAACTAATCCTAATATCATTAATAGTTTTTGGTTTTCTTGTGCTAGAGAAATAATGTTTGTTATGTTTAGTTTAGTTTGTGAATTCATTTACACATTCATTGCACGTAATAATGTAGCTATACTGATAATATGTTTTTACTTGTTATTAGTATTAATTAACTTTTATTTTTATTTAACTTAGAGAATTCGTATTGATGAAACAATAAATATTTATCTGAACTATATCACATATAACGTATATACTCATGAACATTTTTTGAACTAGTCACAAACAATGTAAATTAATAATATATACTTTTATCTCTCTCGCATACTCATATAATTCATGACATATTTATTTATTTTCATTTTTATTTTATTTGATGTAGTGTGCTTGCATTCTTTATGTAATATATGTTTGATCCCTCAAAGTATTATATCAATTTTTAATCGAATGATAATTTTGTGGTATAAACCCAAAAAAAACGAAACCGAATCGAAACAAACCAAACCAATTAAACTGTGGTTCCAAGTTTTGGAGTGTAGAATCGAACCGAAACCGAATTGAACTTTTTACTTTGATTCTATATTTGGTTTTAGGTCAAAACCGAACCGCAAGAACCGAACCCACCCCTAGATATATATATATTACAAGAGAGTTGTCTAAATTACAATTATCCTAATGTAATACGGAGTATGTTTATGCTAAAATAAACTAGTTTAGAAATAAAATGGGAATCGAACAAACTATGAATCAATCACCGTATGAACAAGGAAGCAAAATACAATTAATAAGCTAAAGTAATTCGAATATCAGGAATTGTTTGAAGTATAATATTATAAACTATTGCTTCAATAGTAATTGCTCAAATGACTCTCTATGTTTACAATAGTTTTCTATTTATTCTATCATAGGCCCGTATTGACTTCAACTCTTCCACCGAAATAGGTGAAATTTCCTCAAGAATAGGCTCCTCTTAGTCATCACCCGTTAGCTTCATTCTTATCCTTTGACTCATTCATCATTTACGTTGCTTGAGCTCTTCTCTTGGACTAAACACTTAATTATTTATTTTAACAGTACTCGTGCACTAACTACAAGTATCCATTAAAATAGGAACCTCTTTCTCAACTTCGAGCTATTTTCTCTCCTTCCTATTTGCGCAGGCTTGATCTTATCTTGACTTGGTCCGGTCTCCTTCTTAGTTGTGACTCATCGGCCCAACTGTTAGGAATATTACCGGCCCAACAATTGTCCCCTTTCGAGAAGTTGAGGCGTATGGACGCACATGTCAACCCGTTCAGCATCAACTTTTCGAAAATCTTGAAAGGCCTATCATCCTCGAACATTGCCCATATAAACTCGTTATTTGTCTGATGAGACATGCTGTCAACCTACCTTTCGTATAACAAGACGCTTTTGTCAACTTGTCACTTTTCTGACGACATGTTTCCTTCAACCCGTCACTCGTCTGATGGGACGACTTCGTTAATTTCTGTGCAAGTAGTTTCTGATCTAATCCATCTCTTTGACTAAAGCGATGAAGAACGAAAGCTGATCTCCTATCATCTTCCCCTGAATTTATGCCAATGATCATAACTAGGCAATGCTGATGAGTTGAAACATCGTCCAGGTTGATGTCAACACTTCAGTTGGCCAAGGGAACTTCGTCCGTTGCTAGAGATGATGAGTCGGATTGCATGAACATAATCAAAATCCTGTAATAACTTTGAATACTGTTTCGTTTATGGTTTTAGTAATATCGTCGACATGAATATTTATGACTTATGTCAATGTCGTTTGTATTGCCTCCTTATGTTTTGGAGCTTATGTTGTCATGCTCTTGGAGCACATGCTTCTGTTGTGTACTTCTGTAGTTTTGGCCAAAACGTAGTGTATGGGCTCTGTTAGGACTGTGATCCATGATATTCTCATTGGCAGCCTAACCCTTCCCATTAAATTCTGTAAGCCCCCCGTCAATTGTGTTTTGACGTGTTGTAAGGCTTTGTTTGATGTAAGCCCCCCGTCAATTGTGTTTTGACGTGTTGTAAGCTTCGTATGTTAGGATTCTGCCATCATCAATTATTGATTGTACCTGTGTAAAAAAGAATTTGCTAACGTTGGCCATTGACTAGAAGCCAACGGCCCTCTGATGCTTAAGTTAGTCATCGTTTATAGATAAATAAAAGTAATGAATTAAAACTATGTATACAAAACTGGAGAAATATTTATCATCAGAACTTGTCTATTGTCAGATGACATGCCCCCCGTCCGACGATTTCAGTCATGTCGTCTGGTTTATCTCATCATGGGAGTGACAACACTATGTAAAAGAAAATACAAAACTAAAAATGAAACAACTTTAAGGGTACCGTACTGCAGCTCTTCGGAACCTGTGTATCATTGGACAATATGCCCCCCCGTCCGACGACTTCGGTCATGTCGTCCGATCTATCTCGTCACATAAGTGATGACTCATTCCTCAGGTCTCGAATATGGTTTTCCATGCTTGTTATCATGCCTCCTGAGAGATTCTGAATTCCCGTGCCCCCCTTCACGCTCAATCTGTCTTCGACGGGATCGCAGGTCTTCTTCTAGACGGATGAAAGCTAACGTCTTTGCTTGGACATCTTCGAAGGACCGACAAAGGTATTTCGTCAATTCGTGGTACAACTCTGAATCTTCATACAAACCTCTTTTGAATGCCTCGATGATTGTTGGTATGTCACATCGGGGGATTGACACCTTCTCTTTGTTGAAGCGGTGGAGGTAATCCCTTAAGGATTCGTTGCATTTCTGGACCACACGGTAGAGATCGCTGATCTGCTTCTCCAGAACCCGACTGCTTGCAAATTGCTGGTTGGAGAGGTTGACTAACTCCGCAAATGAGCTGACGCCTTCATTCGGCAGATTGACGAACCACGTCAGCGCTGGCCCTGTCAATGTTGTCTCAAATGCCCTGCACATACAAGCCTCCCGCTGCTCTGGTCTGATCGAGACGGCAAGCATCTGCTGTTAATTAATTAACGAAATAAATTAGTTAAAATTAGTTAAACGTAGGTGTAATTTAAGCATAATGTTAATCAATTTGTATTTAGTTAAAATTACGTAAATTAGTTAATTTTTTTATAATATTAGTTAAATTTAAGTATTATTTAATTCAAATGAGTTTATATATATATATATGCTCAAATTATTGGATTAGCTCATATTATTTAATTTAGTGAATTGTTAAATGTGTATTATTAATAAGATTAAGATGTTGATAATTTTAGTATTGTGGATTAAATGCCATTAACGATTGCACGTTAGTTAATTTTAGCGAATTTTAGTGAAATTTAATATATAAATGTTCCTACGCATAAAAATTATTGTAAATGTTTATGAATTAATTAATGCCATTAACTTAATAATTTAGTGTATTTAGTGTTGAAATCATAATATTGGTTATTAATTAATGATTGAAATGATTAATGACATTATATTAACATATTAGTTCTAGTGAATTAATTGCATTGAACTTTAATTAGTGAAATTTAATATATTAATAATAC